CCCCAAAACCCCAAAACCCCAAAACCCCATGATGAAAATAATTTTACTTGACAGATTGGCTTTGATTTGATGAAATTAAGTTTAAAAGTCACAGATGAAGATATCTTGACTCAAAAGTGCCTCATTGCTCAATAAGGAACTTTGAAGATTTCTGTGATTGAATTGTCTAATGACTCTTCTGTTGTTACTAATGAGCTGATTCAAGGACTGTTATAGTCATCCAGGCGACTCCTACCTTATCCACGTCACTAGCCCAGAGCTCCACACCTCTAGAGGCGTCATCTGGGAATATCAAGTCAGTGACACTTAGCCAGCTGAAGAAGAAAGCCTCAACACTAGATCTATCGAGTATGATCTCAATCTTACCCCACTGCTCGTTGTAAGTGTCCCACTCAGTCTTGATATCCTTTTGATTCTTGAATGAATCTATTTCAAGTGTGTTTCCTGAAGCGCTTCTGTCCAAGACTAAGTAGTTGTCTCTCTTCACACCGACTACAGTCTTGACATCCTTATAGTTAGTTCTGATATTCAAACCAAAATCATAGTCACCTACTGGCTTGGTAAAGTTAACTATGATTTGGAGTAGCTCTGGGTTATTATTGGCTTCCAAGAAAGTCTTAATCTTTTGATTCAAAGTTGCAATGTTGTCCTTGTTGTCAGTGATATTCAAGACTTTATCAGTTGATACTTTGCTAATTCCAAAGTCTCTATTGGGAGTATTGCTTAAGAAGAATTTGTATGTTTCATTGTAAGGTTTGTTGAAGAAAGTGTAAATATAGAGCTTTAGTTCTCTTGGGACAGACATCTAACCTTTCCAGGGATCAGTTGGGAGAGCGTTGGCATAGTTCCAGTTGCTCATCCATCCAAATGACAGTTTTCTAGTAATGTTCCATCTATCCAACTTAGTGGAGTAACTAGTAACTGCGTAGAAATCAGATCCATAATCAATGTAGTCATGAGTTCTAGTAGGGTCCTCCATTGTGAAGGTTAAGCCATCGAAGCTGCCCAAGAAGTATCTAGCACCTGAACCGCCTTGATAGCCTCCTGGATTCACGTTAACAACAAGTACCCATTTTTAAAATCCTGTCAAAGGACAGGTAATAAAGAATAGATCTGGGCATTCCCATTGAATATTCTCTTATACAGAAATTCCAAACTCGCCAGTCTTGATCCAATCTTTGAGATTGGGGCTTGAGTAGAATGCTACCTTTTGCTGACTAGATAAACTTACTACCATTACCCATTTTTCCTAAGGACCGAACCAAAATACCTTAGGGTCTCTGAAGTTTTTCTCACCTGGTATTCTCAGAACAGGGTTATTTGCATATTTGATAAAGGTGTTGCCATTATCAAGTGAGTAAGCCAAGTTCTGATTTTACTCATCATTGGTATTCCCTGTGTAGATGAGGACATAAGCAGGTTGCGTGGGGTAGAGCAAAGAGTTTTAGAATCCAGCTGTGTTATTGTAGTCCACGACTCCACTGCCAGAGAATATACCCACTCCATCGCCTTCAGGAACAGCCACTGGTTGCTCCTCCCAATGCTCTAGATCATCTGAAATAGCATGACCCCAGCTCATATGTCCCCAAACCTTATCCTATGGGTTGTACTGATAAAACATGTGAAAGCGGTCGTCTACGTCACGGAACAATCCATTGGGATCGTTTATCCAGTTCTTAGCTGGAGTATAATGTATTTAAGGTCTGTATTTCTCATCGAAGGGGGAATCATCAGCTTTGATTGAACAGATTCCAATAGAGATAAGCGAGATGATTGCCAGAGAATTTGATACTGTGGTCAATTTCATTTATTGAAGATTTATTATTATAGGATTTTTGTATGACTTTAGATTAGATTTCAGATTAATTACCTTAAAAATATCATATATACAATTTATGCTTTACTGATTGACAAGTTTGCTGATTCAATTTAGTTTCTAATCGATGGGGTTTTGGGGTTTTGGGGTTTTGGGGTTTTGGGG